ATATGGAACGTTCACTGCACCTCAGCCTGTGAGGGGCTGACAGGATGAAACTGTCATGAACAAAGAGAAGCTGCCATGAGGCTGGCAAGAGCCAGGCTGTACATGGTGCCTGCTAAGAGCTCAAACATTTGCAAACCTCCCGCTTGGGCCTGTGTGGTGAGAGTGTCTCCCACATACTCACTTGAAAGGACAGCTGCAGTGCGCCCCTCTTAGGAGGTGAAATATTAAAGAGATAGGACCTACTGTGTGGTCTGGAGGTCATTATCAACCTTGAGTGGGGTCCTAGGACCACTGCCTCTTCTTTCTCTTTCATTTCCCAGGGGCGAAGGGAGCAGGTTTGCTCTGCCAATTACTCCTGTCAAGATGCTCCTTTGCCACAGGCCCAGAGCAATAGGGCCAACCAGGTGTAGATTAGAAACTCCAAACTGGGAGCCTGCATGAACCTGTCTTCTTTCCTGGCTACTAAAGTGTCTGTTACCGAAAGGGAAAACTATTGCACTTTAGTGTCTTCTATTCAGACACTTGAGTATCCGTATTTGCGTTCTCGGGGACCACAAGCAGTGCGCCCGGGATGAATAAACAGCGCTGTCTTTGTATGGCTGATGGTGACATGCTTTATTCATTAAGAACTCTCCCTTCCCAAAAGTGCTCATCGCAGAAGGTGTAGCTTAGTGATGCTGGCATGGTGGAGGTCGGGCAGTGATGTCAACCCTGGGCAAGGGAGAAGTGCGCATTCCAGAGCATCCCACTTTGTAAACAATGACACCGACCTCTGCACGCCTCTCCTGGGGTCGGTCTGAACTCTGGGCTCAGAGGAACTGCCCTCGGGATTCAGGCTCCATTACTTCCTCCCTCTCCTTGTGCCCAGAGAATAAGACCCCAGCTCAAGCCAGGGGCCAAGGAAGTGAGCAGGTGGCTCAGCTGGCCTCGAGATGCTAGGTGCATAAGGACTGCGGGATTGCCGCTGCCTCTGCGGGAGCCTTCGTGAAAGTGACTGTGCAGGATCTGAGGTACGAAAACGGAAAGCCTGACTGTGTCCTATGGAGTGGGGCCCTGGTCTTATCCCTGAAGCACTGGTTTCCAAAGTTTACCTTCTAGCCTGCTTCTCTTAAAATTAGATGTTGCCGCTGGCTTTTCTTTCTTTTTCTTTCTTTCTTTCTTTCTTTCTTTCTTTCTTCCTTCCTTCCTTCCTTCCTTCCTCTCTCCGTCTCTCCCTCTCTCCCCCTCCCCCCCTCTCTGTTCGCTTGTAGGAAGCAAAGGCCCAGGACGTGCCTTCAGAGTTGCAGCAAGGACATTATGGGTGCTGAGTCCTCTTCACTTCCCTCCAGAGCCTGATGTGTGTCTCTTGTCTGCATTTTTTTTCTTCTCTTCGCATCCAAGCTGCTTGCTTTAGCACAGGTGACCCTGCTTACAGCAACACAGCCTCACTGGAATTCATCAAGAGGGCGCTGAATGCACAGTGTGCTGGTGTAAGGAGATCCTGCCGGAAGGCCCTCGGGTTGACCTCCCCTTACCTCACTGACCTCCCCATACCCCAGTGACCTCCTGTCACAGTCTTGGGTCCCACCATTGGAGTCTTGTGACTTGGTCAACACCTGCCCTCAATTCCCTAGCAATAAGAGGAAAGAACGTCCACATTGAACTCAGGGTCCCAGGCTCTGTCATGGGGGCCATCCAATCATCGTCTAGGCTCTCTGTGACACAATACAGGTGGGTGGGACCTGCAGACCTCTTTTGGAAAGCATGCCTCAGGGTGCACCAGCAAAGAGGGACATGTTCTGATAGAACCCATTCTTAGCTTCTCCAGAGATTATTTACACGCCAGCCGCAGCCGGGGCCCCCACATGCTCATCAGGACCCCTTGATGGGCTGCAGGTCAAGATCTTATAAAAAATGTTGCCAGTTCTACTCGGTTGACAGTCCTGACCTTTTTGTTTCTTCTTTGTGGACTGGCGATGATGGGCAAAGGTCACTCTGAAGGCAGGAGAAGGGTCTGCACTGTGGTTGCGTAAAAAGGAGCCTCCATACGTTATGTAAGCAGTTCTTGGAGCCCTCCCCCAGAGGCCCCCCGAGATGCACCTGGGTCACCTGGGCCAAGTGGCAAGCACATCTGGGACTGAGCCCTAAGCACATTCAGGAGTGAGCTATAAGCCCATCCAGAACTGAGCTGTAAGCACTTTTGGAACTGTCTACCACACTGGGGAGTTGAGGGTGGATGTGTTCCTGGAGACTCTTGGATTTCAGTGGTCCAGAACTAGGTCCCATCTTTTGGCATCTGCCCAGAGCTGAGCACCAGACAGTTGTTGGGACAGAAGTGGCGAGCACAGACTTCCAGCATTTAATCCTCCAAGCTCGCCTCCAGCTTCCTGATGAGGCGCTGGTAGGTGTCTCTCTCCACCTGCCAGGAATGGTGTGTCCTCACGTACTCTCTTCCATTGGTCACGATTTCCTTCTCCAACGCAGGATCACTAAGCAGTCTCTTTGCCAACTGAATGAACTCCTGGAAAACAGGAAGTGGATGAGAAACACACATGAGTGATGGGTGGAAGGGAACCTGAGGAGCCGCCTGAAAGCCTGTGTCTGCACCAGTTCCTGTTCATGCCCCCCAGACCCCACCCCTACCCCCACCCCAGCATGTCTAACTCACAACCTAGAGAAACAAGGCTTTTATGGGGGGGGCGGTAATCAGAGTAGTGCAAGCATTGAGATTAAGAAACACCATCCCATCTAAATACTAACCAGGCCCGACCCTGCTTAGTTTCCGAGATCAGAGGAAAGACAGCTGACTGGACAAGGGGGAGCTCTTGAACCCCAGACTGATGGCTAAGAGGCCAACAGGGGGACTGATCAAGACTCCATGAATGTAGTGTCAGTGAGGAGGCCTCGGAAATCTCTGGGGTCTTAGGTAGTAGATTAGTGTTCACCATGGCGTACGAATGAACTTTGAGAGCCCATTCCACATGGAGTGATGTTCTCTCAGCCTGGACACATGGGGAAGGGCCTAGGTCCTACCCTGGATGAAATGACAGACTCTGGAGATCCCCCCAAGGAGGGCCTCACCCTCCCTGAGAAATGATGTGGGGATTGGGCTGGGAGCAAGGGGGTGGGAGTGGGGCTGGTGGAGGGACAAGGGGGGGCTGGGATTGACATTTGAAGCATACATGTTTCTAATTTAAGGAAAAAAAAGAAACACTGTATATGTCAGGCTGGAGGGATGGCTCAGTAGGTAAAGGTGCCAGCCACCAAGCTTAACAACTGGAGTTCAGTCCCCTAGACCCACATGATGGAAAAGAGAACTGACTCCCATAAGTGGTAATTCGACCTCCACGTGTGTGCTGTGGCATGTTCAAACCCACACCCATGCACGCACAAGGCAGAGCATACACACACACTAAGACACTCACACAGGGACTCACAAACATTTCATTGCTTTTATTCTCTTACCCCCTCAGCTCGAGTAAATTCCAACCAGGAGGCAGTGCCTGGGACTTTACTGTCAAGAAGGAACGTCCACATATTCTCAAAATTATTGTTAATTAAATGTTGAGTGTCTTTTATAGCTGGCAATATAAATAGCAACATTTATGTGGGTGGGATTTTATTTTTATGTATTATGTACACATTTTCTAGTAAATTGGTGTTCTTTTCACCATGAAAACATAACATATTTATTCTCACCGTGTGGCAGAACAGCCTTCATATTAAAATTATTTGAGGGGTTAGGCACTTGGGAATATTACTTTATGATGCTGGTCATATCTTTGATTTATCTGATGTGGAGGACTGGGCTGAAGTCGGGGTCCTTGCTTAACATCACTGCAAAATGCGGGGCAATTTTAGAGCCAAATCCTGGATGATGGGGAATGGACTCTGATAAAACACCCCTTTGTTTGTTTGTTTTCTCAGCAATGACATCTGGGAAAAGAAGGCTTGAAGCAAGAGAGATCAGAGCTAGAAATCAGATGCACCTTAATGTGAACTAGGGAAAGAGGTGGAAAGAGAGGGGGAAGGGGGAGGGAGGGAGAGAGGGGGAAGGGAGAGAGAGGGAGGGAGAGAGAGAGAGAGAGAGGGGGGGAGGGAGAGAGAGAGACAGAGAGAGACAGAGAGAGAGAATGAATCTCACCCCTGGCTTTGCAGTGACCATCTACGGAGCCAGGATACAATACTGTCCCTGTGAGTGGAAGAGCTACCTGCCACTCTTTCCTTTGCTCTTGGTCAAGGACTGACTGCAAAGTCAGCTGCCACAGGCCCTCCATCCCTCATGCAAGTTCTGTCACTCTTCCTGTTGGTGTCAAGACCTATTTCTCCTCCCTGTAACATCAAGTGGACAAGCCTGGAATCTTGCTTTTTATCCATGCGGTGTGTCAGAAGTTGTGATGGTACGATGTTGTTGTAACTTGCAGGCAAAGCTTTCAAGAAGGAAACTCTAATAGACTCTAGAAGCAAAATCTAGCTTAGTTTCTGCTCTTCTCTCTCAAGTCTACTTGGAAAATGACAAGGATGATGCTTGGGGCAGCCTCACCGAGGATGAGACACCAAGACTGCAAAAGGAACACCACCCCCTGCTCAGCTATAGCACAAGTGGACCCACTGGGCTGGCAGCTGGTCCCAGCTGGACTAGCAGAAATGCCTCCATGGGACCTAGCTGCTTAATCATCCATGAACACCTCAGTCTACAGCCCAGCACTTACATTTCTCCTTCCTCTCAGATGATAGCCAGTTTTTAATGTAATATGATCCAAGGAGAAGACTCAAGCCCCGCACCCATGGATGGTCCTATCTGTCCACACTGACTACGGTGCTATGGCAAGTACATCATGGGTGAGCCTAACCCATTCACTTGACTCAAGGACAGAGAAAACCCTGAGTCACTCCCAACCAGCAGAAGCTGGCAAAGGCCAGGAGCTAGGATGCCTTTGACTGGCCCACACTCCATGACTTCCAGACTATGTATGCAACATCAGACTGCATATCTGAAACCTACCAGGGGCCACCGCACAAACAGACCAAAGAACTACAGAGCAAAGGCCACAGAAAAATGTCTGTGGAGTGCACAGACTAAGTTGGGGCAGAGGCTGAGCAGCAGTCAGTCAGCCTGGAGCAATAACAGGTTCCACGCCGCTGTCACTCTAGAGCACCCTAGGATGCTGACTAAAACAGGTCACATGGCTTTGAGGGTGGCACTTTCTGTAAGACCAAGGATGCACTCTTGAAAGCCATTAATGGAGATGAGTAAAAGGCAGAGAAGGTGCACACATTAAGACAATTAAAAATACATGTACAGAAACGCAGTTCTTCAGAGAGCTCAGAGTAAGTGATCTCGGATGCTTACACATCAGCCTTGGGAAAGCCACATGCTGCCCATCCCAGTGAGTAGCCAGTAGTGGCACACTCAGTAAGTCACTCAGAAATACAAAGACACAGCCAACTAAATAAAAGGAAGTGCAGACCAGAGCTGCCTCCTGGGTTGCAGAGCCTGACTCAGACACCTGGATCAAGTTGTTTGTTGTTTGTTTGCTTGTTTGTTTGTTTTTAAGTGGTACAAACAAGCATTGTTTGTCTTCAGATAAGCAACTGCTTGCAGTTTTCTTTGTTTCCATGTCATCCTCTGTTGCTGATGTGGTGGGAACCGTATCCTTTCTTTCTTTAAGGAAAAATAGCATTTTTAATTCTTTGAAAATTTCATATACATATACAAAGTATCTCAATCCTATCTACTCTTTCATAGTCCCCCCCAACACATCTTTTTAGTTTCATCTCCCTTAAAAAAATAACTCAGTGAAATTAGTAGCAGATGATTTAGGGTCACTCACTGGGCTATGAGCAACCTGCCAGCAGCCCACATGCTCCTAAGAAGAACGACTCTCCCTCTCCACAGCCATCAACTGCCAATAGACTCTCAGTTAGGGTTGCAGCCCTGAGACCCCCCTCCCCAATTTGGGAAGGAGTTTTGATTGGCTTGATCTTGGGAAAGTCTTTTGGTTTTTTGTTGTTGTTGTTGTTGTTTTGTTGTTGTTTTTGAGGCAGGGTTTCCCTGTATTGTTTTGGAGGCTGTCCTGGAACTCGATCTGTAGATCAGGCTGGCCTCAGACTCACAGAGATCTGCCTGCCTCTGTCTCCCAAGCCCTGGGATTAAAGGTGTGTGCCACCACTGCCTGACTCTTGGGCCGGTCTTATGCAGGTGTGGTGACTTAAATGAGAAATGCCCTCTGCATAGTCTTAGACATTTGAACACTTGGTCCCCAGTTGGCAATGCTGTTTGGGGAGGTTTAGGTGATGCAGACTGGCTGGAGAGTGTAGATTACTGGGAGCAGGATCTGAGCTAAAAAGGACTCCACAGCCACTACTGATTTACTCTCTGCTTCCTGCTCCTGCCATGTGTGCCATGCTGTCCATGGCATTATGGACTCTAACCCTTTAGAACTGTGAGTCAAGATAAAATGAAATAATAAAATAACCCCTTTCCTCTATACGTTTCCTTGATCATAGTGTTTCCACAGCAACCGGGTGGTAGCTAAAACACTACCCTGTGAGTCCGCGGGTGTGGCAACCATGTCCTGCCCAGCAGACAGCATTCCACAGCTCTCCTGCTCAGCCTCTGGCCCTGCGCTCCAGGAGCTTGGGGCTGATGAGAAGGCAGCTGGTTCACTTACAAGTGATTGAAAGGAGAAATTAAAATTGCAGATCTAGTGCCATGGTAGGAACCCTGCGGTTACCTGGGCTAAGGAGAGCTCTGCAACAAAGGAGCTAGCATGCGAATAGCATTCTGCTCAGACACCAGCCCCTGTGGGCCAGAACCAGTGGATCTGGGTGGAGGAGGGCGTAGTGGGCACTATGCAGGGCCCCAAGCCTGGTCTAGCACAAGCATCACTCCTTATATGTGATGGGAAGCACAGAGGGTTCTCAGACATAGTGGGTGGAATTGAATTTTCATGGTTTCAAACAGATTCCTTTGGCGGCCCAAGGCCAGGAAAGGTGCTGCAGTGGGGGTGGCTGCTGAAATGAATAGCCCAGGTAGGGCCAAGTGCTGCCTGGTAGAGATGGGACACAGTGGAGACAAAGTCCACAGGGAGTGGGGACAGTGAAACACAAGCAGAGGCATCCGGTGAGTGACTGAGCCTGCTTGCAGCTCCCATCTTCCCCTCTTGCATTATTCTGCCCGTGACAGCCCGAGGGCATCCTCCAAGGGATACCTCAGACACCTGCTGGCTTCCAGGGTACCAGCCAGCACCACCTTTCCAGTGAACTCCCACAGAGCATCCCTGTTCTGCTCCTATTCAGGGATGCCATTATATCTGCCACCCACCTCTCTGCCTGGTGAGGGATCGTGCAGTGGGACTGGCGGAGCCCTCATAGGACGTAGGCAGACTGAAAAAGTAAGGGAAGGAATCATCCCTTTGGGCCACAACTGACCCCTTCCCCAGGTTGGAGGTCCATGTCCAACTCATCTTTGTTTTGGCGACAACACAGAGGCAAGCTTTGCACGTTAGCAGGCGACTG